GTCGTCGACGTGGGACGCCGGGACGCGATTCTTTCCTTCGATCGATGCCCGAATCCGCGGGGATTGCGCGCCGGTTTTTCGGATCGAGAAGATCCGGAGCAGCTCGGCTGAAAATCCTGGCCACCGTAACCCGCGCACGTTTTCTTTATCCCCCTCCATTGTTGAACGCTTTCCAACGAAACGCCTCGCAAAATGAGAATATACACGCATTCGCGAAATTTGGCCGCGCGTCACGAAATTATCGTCGTCGGCTCGCTTAATGTTTCTACGCGAGTAGGAAGAGATCTCTGTCGCAATGAAAGTTGTGCCGCGCGTCGTCGTAGGGTTTGGAATTTTTTTGATTCGATGACAATCTTCAAAGATAAAATGTCTGTCGATAAGATTTAATGATCTTTTGTGTTTGTTTACGTGCATGGGGCTTTTCGGCGACGATTATGCTTAGCATGGTAAATATTTGCCGCGCCGGCCGTACAGTGGTCCCGGGCGAGCTAATCTTTGGCAAAAAGATCAATATTACAATTTTAATTGATGGGAGATACGTTTTGCTCTATGAACTGGAAACCTGTTGTAATTAAATATAACGTTGTAAAGTTGACATTTTGTAATCGAGGTTTGTAGTATCTGATTTAGTTACACGGTTAGGAGCATTTAAATACTAATTTGTTCTATATGTCTTGACTATGATCTTGTTTAATAGTGCCTACACTGAATAAAAAAAGTATTCGCACACATTTCGGAAAGCGATAACTTTATTGAAACTGCACTTGAATTTTTTTCAAACGGTAGAGGGACTAGTATACTAAGCAATGACTAAAATGCTCTTGTTTTTAAGTTTTGCTGTTACTTGAAACGATAAAGAAACTTTAAGAACGCTTTCATTTAACTTTTTCATCCGAGCCTACAACGAAAATTTAAAAAACGCCTTTCGTAGATCTCGATGATGTATATGCGTGCTGAAAATTTGATCGATGTCGATTAATCCAGAGTCGAGCTACAGGCGTCGAAAGTTTTTGGTCAAAATCGCGATAAAATTGCGATTTTTGTCATCTTTAATTTGTTGTAACCGATAACAACGTCAACCGATTTCGATCAAATTTTACAGCACTCGTATAAATTACCGAGATCTACGAAAGTCGGTTTTTTAAATTTTCGTTGTTGGTTCAGATAAAAAACACGAGTTTAAAAATTTTTCTTTGTCATTTCAAGTGATAGCAAAATTTTAAAAAAAGCATTTGGTCAGTATTCACTTTTCCACGTGTTAGAATATAAAGGTTTCCAAAGAGAGATATTTCTTTTAGAAAAAATGCTGGTCACCTCTATTTTTCGAACGTTAATATTTATATGGTATAGTAAGGTTATAATATAGTAGATCGTTGAATTCGTCTCGTCACCAGCTAAAATATTATCGAGTCGAATATACATATTCGATTATATAACTACTATACTACTATACTATACTATAAATATTTGTACTATAAATATTTATAGTATAGTAAGGTATAAATATTTTTAGTATGAATATTTATAGTATAGTAAGGTTATACTATTACTATACTATAAATATTTATAGTATAGTAAGGTTATACTATTACTATACTATAAATATTTATAGTATAGTAAGGTTATACTATTACTATACTATAAATATTTATAGTATAGTAAGGTTATAGTATAGTATAGTAGTATAGTAGTTATATAGACGAATATATATATATAAAATATTTTAGCTGGTGACGAGACGAATTCAACGATCCACTACACTATAACCTTAAACCTTGAAACAACGCTAAAATAATTGAAACCGACGAATTCCAAGACCACCGTGGCGCGGCCGGTGGTTCGAAAATGGTCTACGACGCGAAGTTTTCGACGATCGTGACGTCGCGCGATTTGTCCGTGATGCTGCGATAGAATTGTCTGACCGTCGCGTCGCGTCGGGCTGCGATTCGCATATATCCGAGGAGAAAATTCGTACGATCGTACAACAAAGAGGAATGATCCTTTATCGCGAACGGTGTCGGTTCTACGTTACCAAATATCCAAGATAAAAAGATTCATAGTTTATATTTGCGCGAGGGATTAGAAAAATACGATACGTTTGCTTTCCGTGAAACCGGCTAGATTTATGGTCGCCGTTCGATCTTCCTCGGACGAATAGCGTTGCATATACCTGATCGTTTCCAGATTCCAACGAGTAGTGTACCGGCAACAGTGCCAGCCTTATTCCAGCATATTATCGTGCGAAAGGCGGAGAAGTGTTCGCGATAACGATCGACTTGCAATCTAAAGGCGAGCGAAAACGCAAAATTAGGTTGGTGCGTTAATATGCGATTGTTAATACGTCTATCGTTTCAACCGTTCGGACATGCTCGCTGAAATGTCCCTGATGTTAGGTTATGTGTCGGTATATTACCTGTGTACGTAAACGTTGTTTCGAGGCGGACGCGTGTTCCGCCACGCTTCGTGAAAACTATACACGGTGTTTCGTGGAAGCGACGGTTCGCGTTCTGTTCATTCTTCTTTCCTTTTTCGGTCCGTAACGTACGTTTCGATCGATCGGCAAATTCGCTACGTAAACCCGTGTTGCGTTCACGTGTCCGACTCTGACAGCATTTTTATGAAGTGTCGCGTGTGCGAACGCCGCGCAGGGTTCATCTTGTTCAAAGAAAACGAACAATAATAAAAATCGGTTGATCGTTCGGCGGTGCGAGGTACGGTAATCCCGGAGATTTCGGTGCCAGCCATGTTGGATCCACCTATGTGTATATGTATATATGTATACCATCGAAAAGTCTAAGGTCGAAGCTTATTCGTGAAGTCTCGAAGGCCTCGCGAGCACTCTTATCGAGGAGTGGTGGATTAACGTGCCCGCCTTTGATCTCGCCGGCCGGCCTTATCTAATCGTTTCCTTTCTCCCGTTCCGTCCCGTCCCGTCCCGTTCCTTTTCATCGGCCACCTCTCTCGGTCTCGCTCTCTCTCTCTCTCTCTCTCTCTCTCTCTCTCTCTCTCTCTCTCTCTTTCTCCCGTGCTCCGTTCGTCTCGCGCCGTCCCGTTCCTTCGTTTTCTATTTCGTATGTATATGCGTGTAATCGTCCTGAATGCCACGTTGAATTCACACCATCGCCCGATACGCTCGGCGGCGTCCTTTGCCATTTTTTTTTCACTTTTCCTCCCTCCCTCCCTCCCACCCTCGCATCAACCCCAGCCATGATGCCGCTCTCTTATTCGGTGGTGATATTTCTACTTTTCTTTTCTCTTTTTTTGGCGAACGTTCCAATTTGGAGAATGAACGAACGAATGAGCGAACGCTTTTCGCTCTCCTACTTTTTTTTCTCGCGGAAAGAATTTCTCGGTAATTCGTTCGAACGTTTCGGGAAAGAGTTCGTTACAGAATTATTCGGTTTGTTCTAAACGGAATGTTCTTCCGTTTTTTTTTTGTGAAACGAAAGAAAATAACAAATTTGTCGTGTACTTGATGCAAACATGTTTATTGTGGAATATAATGTTTGTCGTTGCTTGCGACTTCATGCCAGCGTAATGACAATTTGTAAATACCATTTTTGAAAAATAGGTTATATATTATATAACATATTAATATATTATAACATAATTATAATTAATATAATTAATATAATATAATAATTAATATATAACATAATTATAAAATATGTTACATATATATTGAAACTTGACACGACGTTGTCGGACAGCACCTTCCAGTAGACCTTATTAGGTCTAGTTTTGTAACATTGCTGCAAGTAAGTAGCCATGTATTTTGACGGGACGATTGAAAATCGGAACGCGTCAGTAATGAAAATCATTTTCCTTTGGTAGCGTTAGAGTTAATGCAATAGTTTTAGTTGGACTTATACTGTTGTAGTCTATTTTAAACTATTTTAGACCGTCCCAGGACGTATCAGACCGTTCCATATTGTTTCATATTGTTTCATACTACTTTTTACTGCTTTTTACTGCTTTTTACTGCTTTTTACTGCTTTTTACTGCTTTCTACTGCTTTTTACTGCTTTTTACTGCTTTATACTGTTTCACACTGTTTCACACTGTTTCACACTGTTTCACACTGTTTCACACTGTTTCACACTGTTTCACCCTGTTTCACACTGTTTCACCCTGTTTCACCCTGTTTCACCCTGTTTCACCCTGTTTCATCCTGTTTCGCCCTGTTTCACCTTGTTTCATCCTGATTCACACTGCTTTATACTGCTTTATACTGCTTTATAATGTTTCAGACTATTGCACACTGCTGGAGACTATTAGAGACTATTAGAGACTGTTGCAAACTGTTGCAGCCTATTGCAGACTGTTTTAGACTGTTTCAAACAGTTTTATACAATTTTGAACAGTTTTGAACAGTTTTGAACAGTTTTGAACAGTTTTGAACAGTTTTGAACAGTTTTGAACAGTTTTGAACAGTTTCGAACAGTTTCGAACAGTTTTGAACAGNACCTTGTTTCATCCTGATTCACACTGCTTTATACTGCTTTATACTGCTTTATAATGTTTCAGACTATTGCACACTGCTGGAGACTATTAGAGACTATTAGAGACTGTTGCAAACTGTTGCAGCCTATTGCAGACTGTTTTAGACTGTTTCAAACAGTTTTATACAATTTTGAACAGTTTTGAACAGTTTTGAACAGTTTTGAACAGTTTTGAACAGTTTTGAACAGTTTTGAACAGTTTTGAACAGTTTTGAACAGTTTTGAACAGTTTTGAACAGTTTCGAACAGTTTCGAACAGTTTCGAACAGTTTCGAACAGTTTCGAACAGTTTCAGGAAGGCAGGCTTGTATGCCCGAATGTTTTTCAATCTCGTTTAGTTACTCTATTAATACCCTTGCGAGATGTATCCACGAATGGGATCGTCAAAACCGTTATCTCTTTGAAGCGTTATTGACAAGAGAATTAGAGTAGCAGATATTAAACGCGTAATAATGCCGAGCCTAGCCTTATCGTTGTCTTCTTCCTTTTTTTTTTTAGGCAAAACTCGAACAAAAGACAAATATAGAGTGGTCTACTCGGATCTACAGAGATTGGAGCTGGAAAAAGAGTTTCACTACAATCGTTACATTACGATGCGTCGCAAGTCCGAGCTCGCTGCCGCACTTATGCTTTCGGAACGTCAGGTGAGTGTTCCCGCAAAGATTAGGATAGGCGAATACAATACTTTGTTTCTGTAAATATGCTCGCGAGTTTTCCCCGGTTGTCAGTTCGTTTTTCTTCGATCGATGTGACTTTGATCGATCGCCGTCGCGGTTGAATCTTTCGCGAAACACCGTCGAGGCGAGCGACGTCTCAACGACGGTACATTATTTTTCCTAACGATCGCCAACGTCGTTCGTTTCGACGAGTCTTCGCAGTCGATTCCCTTCGTAGAAAAATATCGATTGCCCGAAGAGAAAGAACGGCCGAAGAAAAGAAAGAAAAAAAAACGAACTGTTGAACCGGGGACCACGAAACGCGGCAATTACGGTACCCGAACGAAATACGGCGACTGTAAACGAATTCGTTGCTGTTATCCTGCACAGGTGAAGATCTGGTTCCAAAATCGACGGGCGAAGGAAAGAAAGCAGGCGAAGAAACGCGAGGAGTTGGAGCAGAAAGAATCGAAGCCGATCGAAGGAGCGCTTCCGAACACCACGATGGCTACCCTGACCCTTGGAGCAATGGGGACGATTGGAGGAATGGCAGCAGTGGGCGGAATACTTGACGGTATGATGCACAACGGCGGACCGCGGGCCCTGACCATCGGACACGCGACACACGCATTAGCTTTGCCGCATGCAGCATCTTCTTTGCATCATACGCATCACACGCATCACACGCAGCCCACTCACCACACGCAGCCCACGCTCAACACGCAGCCCACGCTCCACACGCACCACACGCTCCCCACGCACCACACGCTCCCCACGCACCACACGCTCCCCACGCACCACACGCTCCCCACGCACCTCACGCACCCTACGCACCTCACGCATCCTACGCACCCTACGCACCTCACGAACTCCATGCATCCCACGCATCCCACGCATACCACGCATCCCACGCATACCACGCATACCACGCATCTTACGCATACCACGCATACCACGCATCCCACGCATCCCACGCATCCCACGCATACCACGCATCCCACGTATACCACGCATCCCACGTATACCACGCATCCCACGTATACCACGCATCCCACGTATACCACGCATCCCACGTATACCACGCATCCCACGTATACCACGCATCCCACGTATACCACGCATCCCACGTATACCACGCATCCCACGTATACCACGCATCCCACGTATACCACGCATCCCACGTATACCACGCATCCCACGTATACCACGCATCCCACGTATACCACGCATCCCACGTATACCACGCATCCCACGTATACCACGCATCCCACGTATACCACGCATCCCACGTATACCACGCATCCCACGTATACCACGCATCCCACGTATACCACGCATCCCACGTATACCACGCATCCCACGTATACCACGCATCCCACGTATACCACGCATCCCACGTATACCACGCATCCCACGTATACCACGCATCCCACGTATACCACGCATCCCACGTATACCACGCATCCCACGTATACCACGCATCCCACGTATACCACGCATCCCACGTATACCACGCATCCCACGTATACCACGCATCCCACGTATACCACGCATCCCACGTATACCACGCATCCCACGTATACCACGCATCCCACGTATACCACGCATCCCACGTATACCACGCATCCCACGTATACCACGCATCCCACGTATACCACGCATCCCACGTATACCACGCATTCCACGTATACCACGCATCCCACGTATACCACGCATACCACGCATAACACGCATAACACGCATAACACGCATACCACGTATTCCACGCATCTCACGCATCCCACGCATCCCACGCATTCCACGCATCCCACGCATTCCGTCCATCCTCATCAACATACCATCCCCCTCTCGGTACTAGGATTGTGATATGAAGAATCAGTTGTGGAAGTGTGGTCCAGCTTTGCTGACTGACCTCGCAAAGTCTCTTTTTCTTCCTCTTTACTTCTTCTTTTTCCCCTCCTCATTCTTTTTCTTTATCTCCTTCTTGTTCTTTTTCTTTTTCTCCTTCTCCTCATTCTCATGCTTTTTCACTCTGTCACTCTTTCACTTCTTTCTCCTTTCTTCACTTTATGACCCGCGAAATTCACGGTAACGATCGCAAACGAATCGCAAACTAATAGCAAAAGATAGATATAGACAATTTTACTATAGACACAATTTACTGTATATAGACTCTGTAAATATCTTCGTCCTCTCATGTAATACTGAATTTAGCAAAGACCGTTTTCTTGAAAACGGTGGTGTTACTGGACGTGTGCGAGAGCGGGTCGGGACGTATAAACGAGAATGATTCTCGGGATCGTGACGGGATCTTGAAACTCTCGGGTTTTCCGAGATCGTCCGGGATTCCTAAAAATGTTCGGGTGTCCCGAAAATGTGATTTCCCGAAAATGGGATTTCTTCAAATGCTGTGATACGAAGACGCGTCTTTTCGTCTTCAATTTTTTTTCCCAGGAATCTCGTCCCGACCCGATAGAGGCATTTTTGCCCGTAACAAGAATAGGTTTTCGGGAATTCCAGAATTCTCGCACGCCTCTAGTAGTTTCGGATGGCAATAGATTTGAAATATACAGGGGGCCAAAAAATTATGTTACTTCCGGGAGATGAAGGGTTCCCGAGGTCATTTGGAGTAACTTTTTCCTTAGCGAAAATGCAATCCACGGCTTCGTTTGCGAATTATTAGCGCGAAAACAGTGACCAATACGAGGCGAGCTCGGCTAGCACGAGGCGGCCGCGCCAATGAGCGGAACCGAGATTCGTGCGCGCGTCGAGCTCGCCTCTTATTGGTCGGTGTTTTTCGTTAATAACTCGTAAACAAAGCCGCGGATCGCATTTTCGCTGAGGAAAAAGTTACTTCGAATTACCTCGAATACCCACATTTTCGGATTGCGAGCATTTTTGTGATATCTTGTACATATACACATATTTCCTCGGCCAGGGGTGTGTCGACACTTATTTATTCCAAGGGGACGCCACAGTAAACTGTTTTATATATATTTTTTTAGACTTGTTATAGTGTACAAATTAGACGTGCTAAGGTGACCGACGTTGATTTTTTCGGAGATTTGCGAAGCACTCCTCTATAGTTGAAATATTGTTGTTACGTGTATCATATAAGGGAACACTGTTTTCGATGCAACGACGACGGCGACTCAGCAAACTGTATCGAACGATTTTGTACGTATTTTCGAAACAATTCATTCATACCTACGCATTTAAACGAACGCGGATAATCAACGTAAAAAAAAATAGTGTCTATCGTGCAAACAGTTTTCCGTTTGTAGCGTCGTTGCAACACTTTTTCGAAGCTTTTAGAAATTTATATAAGTAGGATAAAACTTATGACGCTGGAACCCCTTGGCATCATATCATGTTGTTGATAGTCCTTTTTCGTACGACACCCGGGCCTTTCTTCGTTCTCCGAACGGATGATCGTGTTTCCATGCAATCGAGACGGCGGTATCGTTAAGAGAAAGAAGGAAAGAGAGAAAGACAGAGACGATCGACTGTACTTGCGAAACTTGATGCTTTAACGAGAATCTTTCCTTAATATTTTCATAGAGTGTGTCCCATTTAAGTCGATTCGGTCAAGTGTCTTTCGTTTGGAACGAAATTTGAACGGTTTTAGGGGACAGGAACGGTTTTATTAACCAAATAGTAATAAAATTTTTCTAAGTCGAGGATGTACATGAAGATCGATTTTATTTTTTCTTTAAATAGAATCGTATGTTTTTTTATTACATCTCAGTCGATCCAGCTTGTTATATATATATTCTCTTCTTGAAAATACTAATTTGAATTTTTAACTATTTATTTGGATTTTTGATCTTTTACTATTCGGATTTTGGATCTTTTACCATTTGGATTTTAATATTTAGAGACAACGGTAAATCTTTGTATTCAGGCCGAACATTGTATTTTTAAACGCCAACTTTAGATAGGTGAATGCTATCACTGGGCACTGTTAAGATTAAAATATCTTTTAAATTAATGATTTTTTGCAATAAATGGCTTGGTACTTGTATGAAAAGAACGACCAGCCGTATCGACTAGTATAATAAAAAGATATGATCCCATTTAAAAAAAAGTAAACTCGACCTCCTATAAAAAGGTCCTGTTCAAATTTTGTTTGAAACATTTTTTCTTATCATCGACGGTTTCGGAGATGGTTGGAATTAAGTGGAACGATTTAAATGGGTCAGCCTGTATATATTTGTCGATAAGTAGATATTACAATTTACATGTTATTATAATAATTATGAATTATTAATATTAATAGAGCTCTTGAAATGTTAGTTGATCATTAAGTCTAGTATTATATTGATATGTGATAGCATTTTAAATTTACCAAATACACAATTTTATGTTCATGAATCCGAGATTTTTTATTTCATTTCGACCCGCGAATTCGACAATCCTGCTTCATTCGCGCTACAAGTAAAGAACAAACGATTACAGTGACAAAATTGATTGCCTTGAAAATTCAGAAGGAAAAGTTTTCAACCGCCGCTATCGCGTAGGGGGGACATCGGGACTGGTTTACAGAGTTTTTGCATCTCCAATTTTTATGAACAAACCGATGGTATTTTGTTAACTTGCTTTATATCAAAAGTTCATCTAGTCGTAATTTTTCCCACACTTATGTAGGTAGTGGTCCTAATTGACGAACATAATGGGACTAGTTGACAAAATATAAATAAAAACGATATTAACAAAAGTGATTTTATCCGCTTGTTAATATTACGTAAAATAAGATCGTATTAGGTTTATATATATCATCCGAGCCACAGTTACTCACAAAATTGAGCGTACTTTTGTTTCGATATGGATGATCGCAGGAGCACCATTTATTTTATTTATCGTAAAATTTATTTATGCAGAGCTGGTCTACTCAACCCCATTAGTCAACTAGTCCCGGTCTCCCCTACTCTGACGTAACGAAATCATTCGAGCATTATTATATATATTATAAATATAATATATATATAAATAAATATTGTAATATAAATATATATATAATATACATATTATAATATAAATATAAATATATAAATATTATAATGTAAATATATATAATATATATATATCATAAATATAATATATTATAAACTCGCGATAAAGACTCGAGCCGAAACAACAATCAGGGTCGTACTCTTACACGGGTACCGATGTAAAAAAAAGTGTAACACGGTTCACGCATGTGGTCAGACCGCATAACCGATCCCGTCGAATCAGTGGGACGCACACCACCGATATCACGCGACGATGCGGCCTCTGTAGCCTGTGGTACAAGAGGCGACGAAGCTGCGAAGGTGGCAACGAGTCCCGCGGGAGCCCTCAACTTAACTACCAGATCGATGTCCGACCCCAGCCGCTCTTCATCCTCTGGATCCCCT